ATATTCTCATATATAAAGCTCATTTTACAAAATTCATACAATCCTCTTGGCAGACCACAAGATGGTGCTGGTCCACCCTAATTACTGATCTCAAGAGAGATACATCTTTCGAAGTTATACTATCCCAAAAAATTAGTAGAGGGAAAAGTGAATCTCTTTTACACAGAAAATTACACAGAATGCATATCTTGTGCAGAAAAATATGAATGACACAATAAGGTTTTTAACACAGAGAGAGAGAAAGAGCAAAATAAATAAAAAGTTTAATGTTGATTTACCTATTTTTATGAAAACAAGGTAAGTCTCAAAACAAATTCCTGTGCTTCTTTTCCCTGGGTCTCTCCCAGTTTCTTACTTATATTACATCGCATTATAATTCATGTGAAATCATCCCAATAGGGAGTGAAGCTAGATTGCATCAGGAATGCTATTAGTCCAATGAGAGACAACATTTCTATAAACTTACTGCCCTGTTCCCAATTCTTAATAATTTAATTATTTTCCCATAGAAGGCAGCAGGAGTGTTTTACTAGCAATGAGAACAAAAAGCAAAACCTCAAATTAATGTTTTAAACCAAGAGGAAATAAGAAGAATCGAGTACAAATGCAGCACCTACATCAACCATAAGCTTCAGTAATGGTACTCCAATAAATTAAAACCATTTAAACAACTTGCAATAATGTATTTTTGGACAATTAAGGAAACAGCTTCTGCTGATAGTTTACCTTTCTGTTGAGGACTCCATCCTATCCCTTGCTCCAATACAGTTATGCTTACAAATTATTTATTTTTCCACTTCAAAGCATAAGAAGCACAGAAACAAGAGGGATTGCTCATCGATGCGCACATTTCCCTTCTACCCTGAATGTCAAACACCAAGCATGCTTATGTGTTTAAGAACTCCCAAAGGGAGGGCCTGCACAGCGCTTATGAAAGTGAACTGTAGTAGCCCCCAGATCTTGGCTCCCTACAGCCTAGTACCAATTTGACTCTACTATCAGCATGACCTTCGAACAGACAACAGGAAACGCAACCGTGACTTCAATTTTGTCAGAGGTTTCAGGCAGGAAAAATCCCATTAGTACTCCTTCCTTGAAGGAAAGCCTTTTATTGGTGGAACAGCTGAGGGGAGAATCAAGAATGGGCTAGATCTACTTCCCTCCTTTCATCAGTGAATCTACTTGAAAACGACTGTTTTATTTGTCAAGAAGGCAAAGAACAAGAAGCAACAATGCCTTTAGGGAACACTATTTATTTACCATCTATTTGCTAAATCTCTACAGTGGCCCATTAAGCAGGTTTTGGGTGGCCCATAAAACAACAAAAGTAGCTCACTGCCAAAGATCAACTCCTGACAGTAAGCCTGAGGAAAAGGCTAGAAAAAAATTGCAACATAGATCAATATAAATTAGGTGTACACATTACACATTTGTCTCATTTATCCTGGGACATGTGAAAGTGGATAGCATATATCTTGCTATCCACTTTCACATGTCCCAGGATAAATGAGACAAATATGTAATGTGTACACAGCTTGTGATTTCAACAACTCACTATTAAAATTTAAATGGGTGGTTAGCTTTTATCACAGACTAATAATTGAAGCTAAAGTTTGCACTGCTCACCTCCAAAGTTTATTTAGAAAACTTTATCTGTTGCTTTAATATAAGAATTCAAAAGACAGTTTTATTTGTCAAGAAGGCAAAGAACGCGAAACAACAATGCCTTTAGGGAAGACTATTTATTTACCATTTATTTGCTAAATCTCTACAGTGGCCCATTAAGCAGGTTTTTTGGTGGCCCATAAAACAAATACAACAATCAAAATACAATATACAATGATAAAAATGGATTAAAAACTAACTGCATAATTAAAGCACAGATGAAAAATAAAATAATCAGACCATAAACTTTAATTATTTAGGAAGCCAGAGGTACAGTGAGGTTTTAAAATGCTCACAAACCTAGCACCAGGCTGTCCCTTTTGACAGGTTATTCCATAAATGAGATGGAATAACCATCCACCTAACTTTTTTGGTAGAGCAGGGCTTCTGAAGAAACTCATGTATTCTCTTTCAGATAATTTAGACCCAGGCATTTTAAGCCTTTAAAGATTACTTTGGAGACCAACTCCATTCCTGACAATTTACTAATCACCTCTTTACTTTTTAAGTTCAACATTATATTCTAATGATTATGAGATGAGGACATTGGACAGAATGAGGATAGGTAATGAGATGCCACCATTTAAAAATGCATGAGTTCATGTCACACATTATACAAACCAAAGGAAACAACTGTTAACTGTTATACAAAATTATGTATGACTGTATATACTGCAACTTGGAAAACATCACAAAACTACCACAACCCAAACTAAAGTATATTCATCACTTCCATGTTGGATTTCTGTAATGTACATTACTTGGGGCTGCCTAGTATGATGGCTGATTTAAGTTTAAAAAGATGCCTTAGAGGGAAGAGTTATTATGGCTAACCATAGAAAATAAAAAAACTAAACAGAAAAGGAGAAAAATTAAAGAGCTCCATAGGAGATATAAAGAAAAGCTACAAATAACTACAGAGATGAATGAAAAAGCTACACAAAGAGAAAATGTGTCAGCCCCTTTCCATCACATAAAAGTGAGAACTTTCTACAAATTTTGCCTTGCTAAGTTGCATGCCCTTCTTACAACATCTGACATCATTACAGTCAGCTGGTAAACAGCAAGCCAGCCAATGACACAGCTGCACTCAAGACACACCCACCAGTTAAAAAATAAAAGCATTGGGATTTTTTTGGGATGTTTTCAAATATTCAAAATGTGTGCTTAGCTATCCCTCAATATTTTTTTTTGTTTGTTTGCTATTTTCTCCTGTTCATAGAACCTCCCTTTGAACTCTGTCATTATTTGCTTATTTGGATGACACATTC